AGAAGCAGGCCGAACGCCAGCAAAATCTGTCGCGTCCACCGCCGTCGTATGTACAGGGATGCAACAGAAATGCTAGTGCAACTGGGATGCAACAGAAAAAGTACAATACTCGCATCTCACACTTATAATAACTATGGAATTTTAGTGTTGTAGGCTATACGACCCGGGAAGTGCACCGCTTTAGGCTGGCACTACAAGACCGAAGAGAAGCCAAAGAACGGCTGTACCGGTTGCGCAAATACAAACTATTTTAAATTATCCAAATTCTTGTTCACAGTATTCATTTTTGTAATTTATTTTTTAAATTTATTAGTGAGTAACCGAAGTGACCGACGTGACAAAAAGTCCGTTTTCGGTGAGAAGCCATTTCTGTATGCCGTAGTTTATTCACTGAAGGTTTGAGGAGATGATAATTACGGACTTTGTAAGTCGTCCAAAAATTTTGATGCATAAAAATATTGCCGATGTTACGAGCGAGCCTATAACGCTGAGCCATATGGGCACCAAGCGTATCCTTGACGTCAAGACAGCGGTGGACCCGGATGAGGCTTCAATGCAAAATCTTGCGCACTGTGGCGGAGCAAACACCAACTGACAAGTGCGGCTTTTGCAGCCAACACCGCTGTGCTGCAGATCCGTCAAAACAGTATAGAAATGTGCTGGGTGGAAATACCCAGAAACAGCGAATAACAGAAGAGCAAGGAGGAGGAGGCATGTTATACGTAAGCCCGCCCTTACATTCCTGTACTGTCGAGCTCCTGCGAAGTGCATGAAATGGCGGTATGCGCCGTAAATAAGACATAATATGAAGTGAAGTCTATGCAGATATGAAGTATAAGACAATAAGTAACATATACAGTAAAATCTGCGAGATTGAACATCTGCGAACATTGAACACGGCTTTACATTGAACGCCCGCCTAGGAACCGGCGCGTCTCGTAGACTATAACATTGGGGGGCCACCGCGAATATTGAACATCTTTGTAAAGGGAACATTACACTGAGCGCTTTACTTGGGACCGTACTAATAAAATGACTCTGTTCAATGTGAACAAAGGCATAAACTCCGGCTCCGTTATGTGAGAATGACGGCAAAGAGAGAATAACTTTGAACAGAACCGTTTTAAATCCGCATTGTTTACTTGTTTTCACACCACATGCAGTTTGTTACTGTATCTATAACACTACAGCTGACTTTGTTTCGTTGATCTACAATGTTTTCGTATTAAAGATGGCGTTAAACATCAATAGTTGGACGCAATTGCTTTGAGATTAGTACTTTGCAGTATAAGCCTAACCTTTGAACAGACTAGGAACAACATGGGAATTACCGAGAGCTGCCTTTGGGGGTCCATCTTGCTGCCCCCCGGGGGCGCCCAAGTTGGTACCCCCTGGGGCAGCTACTGCGAATATTGAACACTTGTCTACTTTGAACACCTTCGAAGGAACCGTAGGTGTTCAATGTACACAGATTTTACTGTAATACAGCCCTGCTCCGCCACACGCGGGCAGTAATAAAATTCTCCTGACTTCGAATGTTGAAGTGTACCATTTATACTTTATTTTTCCATGATAGTCCTTGGTCTATAGTAACTTTCTAAAATATGTTTCTAGGCAAGAAGCCTGGAAACATATTGTTGATCAGACACAGGTTGCTGTGTCTGATTAACAATATTTTAAAATCCTAGGCGAATGAAAGCGAGCAAATGGCAACGTAGTTTTCTAATGGTCCCTTCCCAACTTCCGTTTAATCCCTAACATCATCTCTACAACTGTTAGTTCTCTTGACATCGAAATTCTTCGGAAGGTACCGTTAACCATACAAGTCTACGGCAGATAGATCTTGTTTTGGGGTCACCTCGAGCACTGATCGCGCGAGGTACTTTTGTTAACCAGTAACAGATACGATACCTTTTGGGTAAGTCAATAATTTACAGAAAGTTCCACTCAAAAACGTCAGTTACTGAAATTATTAGGGAGGCTACTATAATCATCTTTAAAATGACCGCTACCCCTTTCCCTTAAACACGGCTTGGCTCGCTACTGGCACTACAAAAGACCTCAGTTGTAGTACCTCTGAAACCGTAACAAAAAGTTACACCAGAAAAGCGCAAAGAAGATAACTAAACGGCCGCACAGAAGTATTTTAAATTTATTTTGTGCAACTGCCCGCGCGTGGCGGAGAAGGGCAGCAAATTGAGAAAAACACTGCGTAGTACAAGCCCGTCCCTGTACTACGTCGAAAAGACATCACTACTGGACGGCACAGCTTCGGGCGGCTCACGGTCCGGTTCGGTCAGTTCGGGGTAAGTTGATCCGGTCGGCTCGGTCCGATTTGGTGACTCGGTCCGGTTCCGTTTTGATCGGGTTCCGGATCGGATCGTGTCCGGGTCGGTCCGAGGTCAGCCGTCTGGGTCAGCGCTCTATCGCGAGAGAATCCAGGGTTCAACCCGGAAAGGGGTTAATTCCGTCGTATCCTTAGCAGGGAAAGGTCACGTTCTGGGGAATTTCGGCCAGGGGTTTGGGGCACTGGTATGGCCGTGACCTTGCAAAAAAAACCAAACACACATTCCGCTGTGAAATTTCGCCGCTTCGTCCGGGGAAGGTCGGGGTCCGGGTGATCCGGGCAGCGGTATGGTGGGGCATTTCTTCGGCGTGATGCTGGTGATGGATCCGACAATAGGGATCGGAGTGATGCAGCTGGTGGGGGTGTCGTATCCGTTCTGGTTTCCCGCTATATCCTGGTCGCGTCCGCCGTCGGCATCACAGGACGCGCTTCTCGCTCTGCGGCTTCTCCGTCCACTATGGGGAGGCATCCTTCGCGTTCCGCGTGGGAGAGGGGAACAACGTTTGTAGCTCCACATTCAGTGGTAATCGGGTCGACCGCCACCGTCACGCTGCTACTGCATTACAGCGCATCGCTGTAACGGAGTAGTAGCGTGAGATGCGCTGTAACGGAGTAGCAACGTGACGGTGGCCGACAGAGCGATGACAGCAGTGGTTGTCTTTACCGAAGATAAGTGAGGTCGGTGAAGATGGGAAAGAGTTTACAACAGACTGCCTGCCAAGTAAATGTAATATCAGTTAACAGCATTCACACTTCCTTCTCTTTATATACTGCGCTTGTCGCGTTGCAACACGCTGTTGCGTTGTCGCGCTTGTCGCGTTACAGAAGAATGCAACATCTTGTGCTGCTGCCAATCAGCCGGTCAATGTCACCAATTAGCATTTAATAAACATGCACATGACGCCACCAGGCACCTTGCTTATCATACTTGTCCGCAATTTAGTGTATACGAATGCCAAGTTGTCCGTTTATTGGAAAAATTGATACAAGCGAAACATGAGTGCCCCAAGGACAAAACAATGTCTGCAGCAAAAAATAAGTGAGAAATGCAAGCAAATTAAGCAAACGTTGCCACATAAATAAACACAAGATGCCGACGAATCTGAAAACACACCGTGGCTGCGTGGCCTGGTGTACACTGTACAGTGTGATTGCCGCCGTGGTGCGCATACCAAGAACGTTGTGTATCCATTTCACGAACAGATCCAATGCGGATGTAGTAATAACTAGTAATTAATTATGCTTATCATCAGTAATTATAGATGCTTGGTGTCCAAATTCATGTTTTTGATACCGATATTAAAATATTAATAAAACAGGCATTTTGTATATGACTTTTCCCTGACTTTGTATAAGCCGCATGTTTCTTTCGATTTCAATAGATTTGCCTAATTTAGGAGATGTTTTGATATTTCATTTAGAGTACTTACCTATGGACGTAATGCGCGCCCAATATTAGTGTACTGAGACGAGCCCGCTCCAGAAACAGTTCTGCCAATCAACATTAATAGGATACCCGTTTAGCATGACCCTGTATACATACTGGCGCTTATTGTCACGCCGACATCCCGCGCAAACTTGCGTTTGCTAGTGCAAGTAAAAACTCCCAGTAATATTTTTAATTTTGCTATCCGTTTTTGGGCATTTATGCACTTACTTTTGACATTTTCTGGGATTTTTACTTACCTTTACTTACTATTTCTATTTGTCCAAGCACGTTTACTTTACTGAAATAAAGTAACTCAATACATTTAATTTAGCGTTAGAATCTTCGCACTGCGCTGGTTTGAAGCGCAACAAATTACTGAAGCACCGATAAATGATTTAGCAAAAGACTTTTATTTATTCAGAACCTACTATTGGCTTACTTTTTACTAATCTGACAGCACATTTACCTACTTTACTGTAGTTCGGTGAAAGATCATCTGTCATTGCATAAAACTAAGAATATTTTGCAATGTTTTCACTACTAAAGCTCCTAATCTGTTGCGTCAATGGCCGTTTGGTAAATCTGTTTACTAACATAACAATTATTTAAACAGTAGGCCGAAGGTGCCGAACCCATTTTGTCTTCGGGTGCCATTTAGCCAGTCAGTGTCACATTAAACAGTATTAGCAGTATTAAACAGTGTCACATGTCAGTATTAAACAGTAAACATTACTTATCGTTAATATACCGCGCGTTGCATCTATTTGCGAAACATTTACACAACATGGTACATTGTAAGTATGCGCAGCACCTTGATCCCTGGCAGTAAAACAATATTAATTGCACGCTGGGTTGTCATCGGATAAGTCGGTGTTTTGCATTTATTTAGTGGCAATGTCTGCTTAATTCCCGGCACTTCTCACTTATTTCATGCAGCAGACGTTGTTTTTGCTTGGGGCACTCGTGCGTTGCTTGTATCAATGTTTTCAATACACGGAAAACTGGCCAATCGAACAAAGTACATGCTAGGGCTGGCATTATAAGCGTGGTGCCTGGTGGCGTCAGGTGCATGTTTTACTAAATATTAATAATTATTGGTGACACTGACCGGCTGATTGACAGCAGCGCAAAAGTTGCATTCATCGGCAAAAGCAAGGCGAAAAAAAGAGATAGGATATAAGGAACCAGTGCTGTTAACCTACACCACAATTACTTGACACAACACTCTGCTGTCCACTTTTTTCTCATCGTCTCAGAGTTCACTTGTGTACGATGAAGTCAGCCTCTGCTATCCTCACGCTGTGGATCGCCGTCACGCTACGACTCCATCACAGCGCAGCGGAGTTTGGTGACCTAACCGTCGGATCTGGGCTCAAGACAGTCTTCCCTGGAATCGGCGCAATCCAATCTAGGATTGCCTCCGACAAGAATTCAAGGGAACGCCGGTAAGACCCGATGTCGTGTAAGCAGAATTTAAAACAGTCTGCCACAATTAATCTATTGTCAGTAAAATCATTATCAAGTTATCGTCTCATATGTGAACTGCTCATACTACTACTGTAGCCGCGCGATGAGTTTGCACCACTATCAGATCCGGCCGCAGTCTACCCCCTGCATACGCTATGCAGAGTGTGCTGCAGCGTGTGCGACGATTTCCGTATACCAGACTCTGTGGTGCAAACTCATCGCGCGGCTACAGTATATATACGCGGGAGTTTGAGCGACATACAATGTGACCAAGCAATGGTAAAGCGGATTTATTGTGCGTGAAGGATTATGGTTGAAACGGTAGCGCATTAGCTGCTGTGAGTTAAACTGAACACCAGTTCCGTAAGCAGTCGACGTAACAGAAAACCTCGGATGCCTGCTCTACCCAACCACTCCGTGGGGGGTTGCGTTGTTTACTTACCAACCGCAGCTGTTGGTCTGTGCAACCATCCACGGTTGTCTGTTAGGCCGTTTTCTCGGCCTAACAGCCAACCGTGGATGGAATTGGTGCTACGGAATTGGTATTCACTTTATCTCGCTGCAGCTATTGCGCTACCGACTCAACTATAATCTTCCTCGTACACATTTAGCGAAGACGGCGACGGCAAATGATTTCAAAACGGTTAGAAAGCTTTAGTACAGCAGGGTCACAGATACGCACATGCTGAACTGCTTGACTACGAGAGAGTTTGAGATAACGCGCAGCTATCGCCAAAACATTGAGCTCAATCCCAACTGCACTAGCGGTTGACTTAACCGTCAACCGTGGACGGTCGAAGCGTGGTAATATGTCGCTCTTGCCTACTGCATCTATCCACTATTGACAGTTACGCATATTGCTTATTGCTACTATTTATGATTTGCATTTTTTGCAGTAACTCATTAACCGACGCCCTACAAGCAATTTGGTGTGACGATCCATTAACGACACTTGGCTGTCGCGAGTGCGAGAAGTCATGCGCCAAACCCAACCCGTCGGTTCACTGCGCTCAAGGTTGCCATACCACCTGCATCTGCAGACCAGGTCTATATCGTACTTCCGGTCCCTCGCCAACATGCGCGCCGCCAAATGGACCCCTGCTCAACAACTGTAAAACAATACCAAGAAATGTTAAAGGTTAAACATCAGAGGGCCACGGATACGATACATGATGTGATTAATTGGTGTACACAGCAAGCGCTGACGATTGCTTAATTTTCCTGATGGTGTTGCATGCCCACTGTTTATGTCTGATTGGTTTGATTGTCTTGGAACGGAACAGAAATAAAAATTCTGCTATTGTAATAAAATGCCCACGTAAATCTGTACATGCAGGGTGGTTAAATTAAGAGGAACCAAGAGATCTTTTAGAATGGCAGCGGCATACCTGTTAAATTTTACGGTGAATGCTATTCCATGATCGATCGTGAAATGCTGATTTCGCTGTGTTTATTTCTGTTACGAGTATGTGCAGTTGGTGATCAAACTAAAAACTATGCCGCCAAGAAGTGTAAGCGGCAAAAGTGTCCCCCATGTCGAAAGTGTCCCCCGGACAATTTTTGCCGTGTCCCTCCTGCCACCAATGCCGAAACGGTAACCATTTGGCCAGAATGGTGACATGACGGACTTACAATGGAAACTAATTTTCAGGTCAATCGGTGACTTTAGAAAAACAGCAACCAGCGTTACCGTTGCGTTACCTGGCAAAAACAACTTCTAAAAATAGTGCCATCACTGGCATGAAAATTAAATGGTGTACGGGATTGGTGACATTATTGCCGAAACGAATTAAATGGTGTCCGACTTAGGGGACATAATTGCCGGATCGAATTTATAGGTGTCCGACATGGGGGAGCAGTGCATAATTGAGTGAATTGCGTAGTAACAATTATTTTGAATTGCCTTGACAGCATGAATATAAATATTTATCCGAAGCGAGCACTGAATATTTTTTCGAGTGTGAACTGTATCTTTTTGTGAAATTTTATCGACCGAAGCGTAGCGAAGGTCCTCTATGTTCAGCGTTCATGGAAAATGTGGTGTCTGTCGGTCATCGCCATCTAATGCACATATGCACGGTCTTCTTACTATCAAACGCACGTATGCGCGCTGGCCGTATATACTCAAGGCGCTTGCAAATAGTGGTGTCTGTCGGTCACCGCCATCTAATGCACTTATGCGCAGTTTTTGTACTATCAAATGCGCACATGCGCGCTGGTCGGATATACTCAAGGCGCTTACAAAATGTGGTGTCTGTCGGTCACCGCCAGATGATGTACATATGCGCAGTTGTCATACTACTGAATGCACACACGCGCGCTGGCCGTATATACTCACGCCGCTTGCGAAGTGTGGTATCTGTCGGTCACCGCCACCTAATGCGTATATGTACGGACACCCTACTAATAAATGCTGATTTGCATGGGCCCCTGCTATCAAATGCAAAATAATATCAATTCAATACAACAATGTGCGCTGGCCTTATGTACTCTGGTTACATGTAAAATGCGGTGTCCCCTGGTCACCACCTCTTTTTATGGTGTCCAGGGGAGCAACGGTCGGTGTCGGTTCATTTTTTGGGTACTAATAGGGCGGTTTCCTTCTACTATTGCTACCGCGGTTTTCCTATGCGTTGTTGAAATCATTTTGATTAGCGTAGCCGCTACATGAACTGGATTGCAAAGCCCGTTGCGTAAACAGTCACAGCTGCTTGGTGTGAGAGCGCAATACCGACATGGGTAAACTGCGTCCTGGCCTGAGAGCAATGTAGTTTCATGAAGGGCTACAGCAGCCTAACGTGAAAGTTGTATTTCTAAAAACGTATTTAACAATCAGCTCATGTTGAATATTTCGGTATTGTGCCGGAAAAGTTACCGCCGGCGCTATCTATGTACTCGAATGGTCTGCGAGTAAAGGTGACCCCATGCATTGAATGAATGCACGTTTTTTCATTCAAATTTATCATTCAGCAGCAACTGTGTGTAGAAAATTAGAAATCATCATGCACTGGATGAATTCAAAGTACGTGGGAAACGAAAATCTGGATGGCAATCACGCGAATTCATCCAAAAAATCAGTGAATGAAGGGGAATCCTACCTCCTCATTCATGGATGAAACTTTCTGGCCAACCGTAATCGCTGCATACCGCTACCGTGGGCGGGTAGATTGCCCGATACACCGGGCGGCTGCCGTGCCAGTTGTTTCTTGGCATGAAGTATATGTAGTCGACTATCACCATTCAAAACCGCCAAACGAAACATTCATCGGCACTTTTCACTTCAATTTTAAGTCCTTACTTTTTGCTCTACTTCATGGGATTTGCATCGAACGTGCATTATGCCAATGAATGTGGACACCTTAAGGCAGAAAAGACTTTACGTTACCTCATCGTCAAAGGTGAAATTTGGAAACTGCATCAACTATTTTCCAGCAAAACGTCTATAATGAAACCATACATCCACCGGCTTAGATGGACGTCCAACGCAATTCAGACCGTAAATATTTCTTTCTAAGTGAGTTTTAAAGAAAATTTCTCAACTAGACTGGCAAAACTATCCCGTAAACAGTTTGTGCCATGTTCTGAGAGCAGCGGAATAATTTGGCCAGAGGCCTCACCCGTTACAGAATTTTCCTCTGCATACTTCACTATCGTAACATTCATTTTTGCAAATTTGTGGTAATAAGTAGATAAAAACTATTTTAAAAATTTACTGCTACGCTTCGGTCATGCAGTGCCCGCCAGAAGCGAGTGCACTTTCCTAGTACTTCTGTGTTCTTAAAATTTACGAAACCTTCACTTGAATTGAAAGCTATTAGAAAACAGTCAGTGGCATACCCCTCAGACAGATTTAATTCTGAATGAGATTGTAGCTAGTACGAATTTCGTAATACGAAATAGTAAACTTTATGGCCGATTTTGTCATACCAGTTATTCAAAAATCACCGGGTTGTACGTGCCATGATGCATGCCCAGACCGGTCATAATAAATCGGCATGAAGGCATGCCACATTAGAGGAGCGTAATGGCTCACTCCGACAGCAGGCCCACACGAGCTTTTCAAACACATTACAAACCAAACCTTATAAATGCCACATTCCCCATCTCAGTACCCCTCAGCATTTAAATTTGTGCTTTTCCAACTAGCAATTTTAAATTTCTATACGGGGTTAATGAAATAAAATAAAGGTTACTTTCATACGTGAGCAGGACATGAATCACAAAAACGCATTGATGGGGTCTTGTGGGAAAAACAATTTAAGGTCATCATCAATCGGTTACACTGATGCACAAAATAATTCCATGTTGAACTGTATGTCTACGCTGACAAGTAGTGAGCTATACAGTATGCTTCCAAGCGTCAGCAAAGCTATCGGGACTTTTATTAATTTTAATGAAATTATACTTTGCCATGTCATACTGATTATTCCCGACTATGAAAAAACCGGCAAATCATTCACCGAGCTCTTATTGGCAATGTGAAGTTGATCGAACTGAATTATTGCTCAACACATTGGGTTTGTGGTAGATACAGCGTACGCTGTATCTACACACAAAGTGATCTAAAGCGCACGTCGATGAGGTGGCTGTTTGAAAGCTTGCCAGGCCATGCTTTGATCGCTAGTGGTTCGAAGTGTTTTCCGCAAGCACTGGGTAGAATATTCGAAATACTCTGTAGTTCTGGCTATTATGTCACACTCTGTTCTGTGACATATCAAATGCGCGGTAGGCGCTGTGTGTAGGACCTAGGCAGAGTCGTAGAGATATGGCATAAAGTGGCATATGGCGCGCAGTTCGACCGGCTTGTATGACAGATATGCAGTAGGCACACCGACAATTTGCTGCCCGCGATCCTGTTGACCGACAACTTGCTGACAACATTTTGCTGAACGAAAAACCGTTTATCCGTCAATTTGTTGTAACGACAACTCGCCCACATTTTCTGGCATGAAATTCCGTGCAACAACCAAAATTATTGCCCATCATAATGGAGGAATTTATTGTCTCCGTGCAAGGGAGCCGCGCCTGTTGCGCAAAGCGACTTGGGGAAAATCTTAGTTTTTTACAAAAGACGAGATTTTTCTGGATTTGAAGACCCCTGTGTGCCCTCGACTTAGTGTTTCAGCGAAGCAACGCCGCTTTCGTGGGCAGGACAATGGAGGGAGCGGCAGCCTTAAACCTTAAATGAAACTTTGTTGTTATGATTTGATTGTTCCTAAAACGGATGTTACCGTGTTTAAAGAATTAAAATTATATTGTAAATGTTTCACTGCCCAGTATCATACAGTATTAAAATAAATTTCATTGATCGTATGATTTTTGATTAGGATAATATTACTGTCGGAATACCGTATTTATCGAGTTAGAAGCCCAGGGTTACAAATATTACAAATGACCGACGGGGTGGGCTCCAATTACGGGCATGGGCTTGTATTTAGGGGGGAGGGGGGCTTCAATTTTTCAAACCAGCTTTTTGGCTTTTTTAATATGGGCTTTACGGTATTTAATTAAGCCCATGGGCCTCTATTTCGGGGGGGGGGCTTATAACTTTCAAACGACCTTAGGCATGGGCTCTAATTACGGGGGGGGCTTGTATTTGGGGGGGGGGGCTTCAAATTCGATAATTACGGTATCTGTGAGGAGAAGTGGCCTCCCCGTACACCCGCACTGGTGCGGGTGCTAAGTTGTTTTGCTGTATTTTGATGGTATTTACTTCATCTACCAGATCTTCAATCTGGTGGATTCTTCAGTTGCTAGCCGTCGTCGTCTGAGTAAATTGATGCCTTTTGGCCCCGCAGCATTCTGCTACGGGAGCTTCTGTAGTGTTGTGCGAAGGGGATATAAAAGTGTGCAGGTGTTTGACGAGTGTTTAGCCCTTTTTGCATAGCTCGCAGTATACAACACTGCTCACTCAGCAGGACAGATTCCGTTTCCGTCGCTGCCCGTGGATCTTTCCCAGATCCACTGTCATATACCCATTAAAGATACAAGCAAAATAATTTCTTCTCGTGTTTCGAGCCTTTGTATTGGCCTAAGTCAGCCGGTCAGCTTCCGAGTTGCGACTTATAAGAAGAACCGTAACTCAATCCTCGGATGGCCGATTACGATGAAAACAAGGGAGCGTTTTCTGATACGGCGACGCCTAATAATCAAAAATGCCCACGTCACGCTTACCTTGTTGCTGTGCCATTAAACGCCCGCAAAACAAGTCAAAAAGCTAGCTCATAATTCCATGACAATTTAAAATGAATATCCAAAACGTTCTAGAGCCTGGTTTGAATGTTCAGTCGTTCTGTTCTGCCCAACTCAGATGAAAAGCGAACAAATATTAACGTGATGGCTGGATCGCCACAACACTGCAGACGGTTGCAGTGCGCCCACGATTTTCTGGTCAACGTTAGCAAATTTGTCTGCTGGAGATTTTTGTGAAACCATGTCTATAACATTTTCGGAGAATGTGGAAGTTTTAGAACTTTAATCGGGTGTTTACACATACATCGGTGAAACAGAAAATCACGTTGTAAATGACTTCAGTACGTAATACACTTCGTCCAACCTCTTACCAATACAGAACGTTTCCTGTACGCACGCAGCATTGCCACGCATTAAAGCAATACTAATTCGGTGCTTCAAGAACTGACTGGACCGCTTTTCTTGTGTCCGCTCAAAAAGCGTTTTGCTGAGCGAAGACATCTTACATTTGGATTTCTTACCCCATAAGTAAAAAGTTTAGTAAGTTTTAGTTCAGTAAGTTTAGTGGAAGTTTTAGTACAATCGTCTTAATTCAGCGCCACAGATAATTGCATGTCTTTGAACTGAAGTTCACCAACGAATTGTTACTGTAGCCGCGCGATGAGTTTGCACCACTATCAGATCCTGCCGCAGTCTAGCCCCTGCATACGCTATGCAGAGTGTGCTGCAGCGTGTGCGATGATTCCCGTATACCAGACTCTGTGGTGCAAACTCATCGCGCGGCTACAGTACTAAGTTGGGGTTGATAGTGGTTCCTTAGCCTACTACTTTCTGTACTGCTTGTAGCATCTGGCAGTGTAGTGGTGTAAATGCCAGTTTTGAATAAATGTGTCCAGTGCGGTCAGTATATTGTGTATGCTCTATGAGGGATTCTCCACAGAAAGAACTGACAAGCAAAAGTCAATAAGTGTGTAGTAAAAAAAATTCATTATGAGTTTATTCACGAGACATACCAAAATAATAACCAGTTTGCTGACAGTTCAATAGAAAGTCCGTCGTTGCGATGGGCCGAATTCGCAGCGGGCTGTCTGTGATTTCAACACATTCTCTGAAGGCTGAAAAAGTGCGTACAGTCTTACATTGCGTGGCTTACGCGCTGTAAAAAAATGTCACAACTTCAGCCGCGGCTGCAGTCTTTAAGGGACGTATGCCGCCATGTACCAATTTCGGGTGCATAAGCTAAAACAGTCGCTTTCGCGCACTGCAAAACACATTGTTTAAATTCTATTACCTAATGATTTGTATACATTGGCGTGAAACCTTGTTTTGCCCAATTGCCCGCAATATCCAGTTCGGGAGTTATCAGTAAAATAAAATGCCAAAAGTATAAACCAACGGATGTCTAGGCAAGGCCGATTACGAACCGATCCTCTTCGACTTTTTCAAAAAAAAACGCGCATTACGAAGATCGTTTTCACACCGCATTGTTATTCCACTAATTTGCCAGCCTGCGAATAGGGGAAATCAGCAATACGTCAACTAGCAAATTGTCGGAAAGTGGAACATTAATCAAGGAAGTAACTGTAGACTGTAGTTATACATTATACTCGCTCCACCCGCGTCACAGCGCCAATTGGAAGCATTCGATGTGTTGCTTACTATTGCTGCTGAATGAACATATACGGAAGTCGAAACAGAAATTAGATTTACTTCCTCATCGTTTATTTCCGATCTATCCTGGTAAGCGAAGCTAACGAATGACTGTGTTCAGCAGAAATGCCGGGTGGCAGACAAGCACTTACTCGACCCATTAGCGCACACTTCTTACAATGTCTTGTGTGACACTCAAATTCTGTCCTTGGGCAATCATGTGTTTGATTGGGTATGGTTTTCCAACAGACAATAAGATACTGCAACAGCAGCCGGTTAAACTGCTGTTCTAGTGGGATGGTTAATCCACCGTACCACGATGTAGCGGCTGTTAAGGCTAACTGACAATCAAAAGGCTGGCACGATCAGCAGCGATGCTGACCGGAAGTAAGGTGGCAATTACACAACTACTGTGTGGGAGATGAGATGATTCATCTCGAAGTGTTTACAAACAACAAACGCAAGACACGGCAGTCACGGCAAGATTCTTATTAGCAAGTACACAGGGCAAGAAGGCAAAAAGCAAGGTTAGCTAGCTGGCAAGGAGCAAATCCAAGAATGATTCTAGTGCGCCAAAGTAAAAGTTAAGAGCATCGAGATTGTAGCGGTAAAGCGGTAAGACAATGAGATGCTGATTCACATGATCTTAATGAGGAAGACAAGCAATGAATGAACCAATAACTGATGTAGAAAAGCAATAAACAATCCCAACTGGCGGTACTAAGATTTTCTATCGTTACATCCCGGACGGTAGCGATGAGATATACGTGTCTCATCAAGAAAGTAAAAATGAAAAAAAATAGAGAATAACGCTGATGCTAATACTGTACGGCGTGGTGGATCCCAAGTTTAATCTTCCACGCGAAGGTTAATTTTCAAGCAGACGATCGGGATTCTGCGATCGTTTTCCGGAATGATGCTCAGTGAGTGCGCCGGTCGGAATCGCGCATACGGTTCATTCGCTGACGGAGCTGATCCAATTCCTGTCGTAGGTCATAGATTTCTTTATCTTTGTCCCGGACGGTAGGTGAATGATACTGGTTAATTTCCTCTTCGGTATATCCTTCAACGCCAAATGCTGTCATAATTGAAGCAACATCGCGGTTAATGTGTTTTCCAACGGCAACTTCGGGTAATTCCACAAATGGTAACGTCTGATCTCCGTTGTCTCCGATTGCGTAGAACAGCTGGTCATCTTCAAGTAACTGTGCTCTAATCTTTGCGGCACGGCTTTCGGCGGTGTAGCTGCCGTCCCATTTGATCTGACCACGATAAAAGGGAAAGTCGGTGGTGAAGAAGCGGTACGGGTTGAAGTAGCGCGGGTATTGTTCAACTTGCTCGAATCCATGACGTTGTGGGGTTTTAATGTAGCGGTACACGAATCCACATCGGTGTTCGTATCGCCATGTTCCGTCGTCTCCGGGATAGCGGATCCACGGTGATAACGCAAATCTGTCAAAACGCCAGGACTGAAAATAATGTGGACTTAACACGCTGCTCATGGGAACAGGGAAGGAGGAGAATTTGTCTTCATCGGCATGGTCAACATTGAGGCGAAGGCGCTCTAGGAAGGTGTATGTGTTGCATAACACCTGGTTCTGTGCGATTTTAATGTCACGTTCATACGGATCTGCTGTGTCTTTGATGATGTCCGATCCATTCTCAATGGCTGTATTGATGTTTTCCATATGTGCGCGGTAGTCATGATGCGGAGTTTTAATTTTGAATCCAATGAAAGGATTTCTGCCTTGTCGTCGAACGTGGTGAGCTTCTTGGCGCGGTCCAGGGTTAACGTACTGGATCTGATCATCCGGGGGATCTTGTGGGCTTTGTTCGCGCTGTCGGCGTTGTCGAGGCATGGTGTTCTGATAATTTCCACGTCCTCCTCTTCGTGATCCACGGCCACGGTAGCCAGTATACTGAAGGCTCTGACCGGTGTACTGTAGCTCATCTGCATCTTCAGGTGTGTCCAAGAGCGGTGCACGCGTCGTCGCCAACTGGATGTCTGCCGGTTTACGTAGAGCAGCAGCGTAGTCGGGCTGCAGGTTAATCTTGTCCGCTGGTGCTGCGCTGGTTGTCGGAGCGGGTTGCTGCTGTGGACGGCTGCTTTCAGCTTGCGGTGCGTTAATATCTTCCATGGGAATGTCCATTTCTGTAGTTGCATCTACAATGCGGTTAATATGGTAAATCTGCAAGTGTACATAGGCTAGCGCATCCAACGAGTATAATCTAATTGTACACTTTTAACGTGAGCAGATTACTTAGCGCTAGCGTTATGAGTGTGCCGGGATCTTAATTTTTGGACGTAGTCGTTTCGACTATTCTGTACATCAGCGTCGTACTGTCTATAAGATTTTAATTTTGAAATGTGTACTGTATCCGTTGATCTTCGCTTTGACATTGGGTGATCGTATTTAATCTGCACATTGCCGTTCTCTAATATTTGTGTGATAATGTACGGCCCTTTATATTTGTTTGTTAATTTCTCAGTACGACCAACTACTCGTACTTCATCTTTAATGTAAACCGAATCGCCAACTTTAAAAGAAATATCCACCTTCTTGTGGTCATAATTTTGACTGTTCTTCTCATGAGTAATATCCGTTAATATTTTTGAGAATTCCAAGGCGTGTTTCCATTTTTGTCGCATATCCTCTATGTACTGTTTAATGGTAATTTCGGTAGAGGTTGTCGATGCAAAATTTTGATAAACAGTATCAATCGGTAATCTCGATTCAACACCAAAGAGTAGATAATGTGGAGTTTGCTGCGTAGTTGAATGTTTAGTATTGTTGTACGCATAGGTAATATACGGTAGATAATGTGCCCAATTGTTCTGTTCGGCATTAATATACATAGTTAGTTTTTCTGCTAAGAATCTCATAAAACGCTCAGCTAATGTATTGGACTGCGGATGAAATGCAGTAGTGTACTGGTGGTCAATCTGCATAATTTCGTTAATTTTTTGAATAATATGACTTGTGTATGCGACTCCTCGATCTGAAGTAATATGCAGCGGTGGTCCATAAGGTAATATGATGTTATTAACTAAAAATTGGGCAGTTTCGTCTTTACCGGTTGACTGTACGGTTTTTGTGACTACGAAACGTGATACATTTTCCACTGCAACTATTATGTACTTGTGACCTTCGGGCGATGCATGGAACGGACCTACGTGGTCGAACGACCAAGACTCTAAAAGTCCGAACTGCTTAATTTGCTGCAAATAACCACTAGGTGGAATGTTTATGCTGTGTCGCTGCTGGCACGATGTGCACGCATCACAATAATTTTTCACGTAGTGCAACATACGAGGCCAGTAAAAGCGGGATGACACTGTGTTCCATGTGCGTGAAAACCCTACATGTGCGGAAACCGGGGAGTCATGGCACTCATACAGTATCTCTGCACGCATATTGTTAGGGATACAAATCAAAAAATGTGGTCGTCCCTTGCGGTATCTGAGCTTGTGCAACGCACCGTGTACTATGCGGAAGCTGTCAGCTAATTTCTGCATACGCTTCGGAGCTTGACTGTACTCTGTAGTATCTGAAAGTAATGTTTTAATTTTTGAGATAAAATCGTCGGCTGATTGTTCTGACACTAATCGAGCGTGCGCCGGTTCTGACCATGTACTGTACAATGGAATGTCACAATCGTCGGTATCATCTGCTGGTTCGTGAGGATTGCGGCTAAGCAGGTCGGCGTCTTGGTGGAGACGTCCTTTACGATACTGTATCTTAAAATCATATTCTTGTAGAAGTAGTGACCATCTATTTAACCTTCCTTGAGGTTCTTTTAGGTTAAGCAAGTACTGTAGAGCTGAATGGTCTGATATTACTACGAAGTGTTTGCCTGCTAAATAATGTTTGAATTTTTTAATGGCAAAAACAATGGCATATAATTCTTTTTCAGAAACTGGATAATTTGCTTGATGTTTATCTAGCATTTTAGACGCATAGGCGACGGTGTGCCAACCGTCTGGATGTTCCTGTTCTAATATAGCACCGACTCCGACGCCGGAGGCGTCCGTTTTGATTTGTGTATTTAATTTGTGGTCGAACGGCTTCAAAACTGGAGCACGGCTCAAACATTCTTTTAACTGGTCAAAAGCTTGTTGTTCTTTTGGTGTCCATATGAAAGAAACATTTTTCCGTGTAAGATGTAGAAGCGGTGCGGATAATGTAGAGAAATTGTCAATGAATTGACGATAGTAACTCAGTGCACCTATAAACGATTTAATCTCTTTCGGTGTTTTTGGTGTTTGAAATGCGGAAATAGCGCTGATTTTAGCTGGATCCGGTTGTATGCCGGTGCTACTGATAATATGCCCTAAGAACTTAATCTGTGGGAAACCGATCTCACATTTTGTAGGGGAGATTGTGAAACCTGCTGTGCTTACAGCGTCTAATACTTTTTCTAACAACTTGCAATGTTCGGTAAAAGTTGCTCCGCCTACTAAAACATCATCTATGTAACAGATGACTCCGTGCCATTTTAAATGGCTTAATATGGAGTCCATAGCTCTTTGGAATGTGGCGGGACCACCGCACAATCCAAAGGGCATTCTTAAAAACTCAAATTGACCGTCCATGGTCACAAAAGATGTTTTCGGTATGTCTTTCGGAGCCATTCTGATTTGCCAAAACCCGCATTAAAATCAAGACTTGAAAAATATTTAGAATTTCCAAAACATGATATTGCGTCATCAATTCTTGGAAGGGGCCATAAAGGTCTGCTAGTCACAGCATTTAAACCTCGCAAGTCACAACAGAATCTGGGCGGCTTCGTCGACCCTTTACGTTTTACAAGTAACACTGGGCATGCCCAAGGAGATGTGGATGGGCGAATGACGTTTTGATCTAACATTTCCTGTACTTGCGAATTGATTTGTATTCTTTGTGCATAGGACACGCGGTAAGGAAGTTTTTTCACTGGCTGATTTCTTCCTGTGTCGATCTCGTGCATAATGTTGCCACAATCACCGAGCGGCCTGTCCTTACTAGGAAACACTTTTTGATATTTCACAAATAATCTGACTAATATATTTCGCTCTTCCGTAGATAATCCTGAATGAAACTTCATTGTTTTAATGTGTTGCATCAGCTCATCTTTATCTATGGCGGCAATATCTGACGATTCTAGTTTTGTTATCGGCACTTCTGCTACTGCATCTACGGGTTCCATATGACCAATAAGTACACCTGGTTTGAGTTTAATATCTTTATCAGAAAAGTTAGTTATTAGTATGTTAATTTTTCCGTTCTCTGAGCGTACTACACTATTTGGAACTGCTACAAGATGACTATGTAATAGTAATTTGTTTCCCAATACGAGTACGTCTCCGTTGTAAATGTCAGGCGCTGAAAGTGTCAATATCGTGCCGTGCTTTGCTGGCAACACTGTGGTAGATGCTAGTTTTATGCCGGCTCGATCCCATGTGATGTCATTTACTGGTTCTGGTGAGCAAGACATTTCCGTGTCCAGCGGTGGCGGCCATGGTGGCACGCGAGGCAGTGCCGCTGAATCTGACCTTTCGTGTGCGCCGGTGTGCGAGTCCGTCGCAGTAGATTGCAGCGGAGCTGCATGCGACTGCGCGAACTGAGTGGTGCAAACCGCCTTCTCAGCCGACGGGCTTGAAGGAGAGTCTGGTTGCACTGGGGGCATGATGTGCGCCGGTGGCACGACAGGAGTAAGTGCCAGTGGCAATGGGGAAGCGACGTGCGCCGGTGACGGTGTGGGAGAGTCTGTACTGTGTACTGTACTCGTATTGTCGTTATGTTCACCCGCAAATAACGGTGATGATGTATTGGTTGCGGTAATAATGTTCGAAACACTTGCTTCACGAGGTACTGTATGTACGTCCGAACTGATGCTACTACCTTCGGCATCCTTTTCTGCTATGGGCTCAACGTGCAAACGATGACGATGTGCTTTCTTTAGATGATAGTGATATTGCTGTACAAAGTTTGTGCGCGGTATGAAAGTGTCAGCGAACATCATGTCCTGTACATCGGAAAGTACACGTTCTCGACTGAGCAATTTGTTGACTTTTGTTTTGTACTGTCAACTCCGAAGTATAATTTTCCAGTGTAACTGTTTATCCACAGATTGTGCTCTTTAAGGAAATCGTTACCGAGAATAATGTTCTCGTATGGCAAGTCACAAACTATGAATATATAATGTTGTAGTGTACGATGTTCGAATGTAATAGTAATTTCACTGAAGTACGTGTTCTTAGCTTGGAACTTTTCAGAAATGGTAGCAAATCGTAATTTAGGAGCATCGTTATGAAAAGGCCGAAAATCTAAATTGAGCTGCACTGCTAAAACTTCCGATATTATGCTGCAACCTGCACCTGTGTCTATTAGAACAGGTAATTTTTTATTATTAATGTTTAGTTCGACGTAGACGGGGCTTACTGTCTGTGGCATGCTGAAGTTCGCATAAGGGCTTGACTGACTAGGTAATATCTTTATTGAATCTTTATGCATTTGGACATTGTATGTATTAATTTCGGATTCCTTAAGTACAAACGGAGGATCATATTGGCGACCATACGGACCTCCTTTACCGTAAGGTCTCATTCTTTTCCTCGTCAGTACGCCAGTACGCGTTACCTTTTTCGCAAGATTGTACTTTATGTAATCGTCGTACTTCTCTTGTACTCGTGCTTTAATGTCTGCTGGGCACACTCGTGCGACTTTATACCGATCATCAGGATGCGAATCCTCACACTCTTTGTAAGAATGGGTAAAATCCTCACAACGTGGACAAAATAATTTCCCATTCTGAAGCCGGTAGCTGTCGAAGTCTATGTACTTTCTATCTATCCGTTTGTAATCCTGACCTGAGCTACGTTTACTATCATCTCGTGAACGGCTGCGGTCTGAGCGATCTTTTGACCGGAAGCGGTCACTGCGATCAGTCGAGCTGAAGCGGCCGCTGCGTTCTTGCGCGCGGCGCCGGCGACCGGTACCGATCTGGCTTGGCCTGCCTACGGAATTCGCCAGACTGTGGTTTATCGCGGTAGTCTGCACCAGTATACCGATTGCGGCTGCGAGATCGATCTTGATAATATCGGTTTTGACGGTACTCATCACGGCTGCGTGATCTATCTGTGCGCTGGTAGCTATTTGAGCGGTCACGCGACGGGCGAAATTTATTTTCGGTAATATAGTTTACCTCAATGGGGTTTGTCTCCGTACCTGCGGCCGGACGATCCGCAATTGTTAATCTGGTCAAAATCGAGCGGAACTCACTAACTGTATGTGTTTTTGATGTTGCCAAAAATCTTTTGTACTCTGGCAAGTCAGCTATTGCACGCTGAATTTCAGCTACTTTGTATGTTTCAGGCATTAGCGGATCTATCTGCTGAAATAACAGTTCCATTTCATCAAGAAACGCATTAATATCGGCACCTTTCTTATACACCTTTTTTGACAGTTCCATTCTCTTAGTCAACTCATAATCTTCAGGTAAAAATCGCTTAGTAAACTGTGCTTTCCATTCATCGTATGGTAAATGGGAGTTTTTCTGCCATAACGACTCAAACAAACGTCTAGGCATATCGCCTAAGTAGTTCGGTAGCATCTGTAATTTTCTACCTGCGTCCCAATTAAGTGCTGCAGCGGCACGCTCAAACTGCTGGAAAAAATCTGTGATAATATAATCGGGCTTGTTGTTAAAGATTTCAATTTTAAAGTCCTTAGCCTGTAGTCTGGCACTGTTGTTATTCATCGTTAATGTGCGCAACAAATCTGTCAGATCAGCTGGTGATTTTGCCGGTTCGGGAATACTATTATGTACAGGCGCATTTAATGTATAAGTACTCGTATTTCGGTGCGTACTGTTAATCTGCGTCCTATTCTCTGTGTTTGTTGCCGGTTCGTGTTTAATGTCTGCCCTGTGGTCAATGCACACGTTGGGAGATTGGACTGTCTCTGCAGCCGGTTTGGTCTGCGCTGCACTCTGAATGCATTCAGCTGCTACGATCAGCGATAAGTTTAATAATTCGTCTGTATTTGCCCTGCCGGCCTGCCTCTGCTTAGACGTGTAGCACGTGTCGAGAGCGTGGCATATTTCTCTCATCCTCGCTGCGGCTGGGTGTGACTGGAACTTGTCCTGTATACTCTCTGGAAGAGTATACGGGAGCGGAGACTGTGAGCGGGGAATTCTCTCTGTACTGTACCCCGGCTCAGCCCATCTGAACGCTGACGGCGGGTTCTTCTCTGGCTCTGTGGCCTCTCTGGGCTGACCGACGGCCAGCTCTGGTTGCGCGGTTGAACGCTGCGCGTGAAACTGTGAATCTGAGCGCGCTGTCGCGTATGAGCTTCGGGAGGGAGAATCTGTCTGTCTGACAAGGTGTGGTAGAGGTGAAGGATCTACTGTGGAGAAAGGGATTTTATGTGTTGTCATGTATTCGGCTAATGTTTTCACAAAGTGGCCTTTCTTCTTAGACTGGGCAATGTTTTGGTCAAGACGCTTGCTGACTGCGAGCAGTTGAGCTTTCGTTAGATAGCTCAGCTGGTCTGTCAAAGATTCTGGCTCGGATGCCATGGATCTACTGGAGCGATTCTTTTAATGTTTGGGAAAGGAATCTACATTTCTCTCTTCCTTATGTTCGGTAATGTGGGAAAAGAACCATTTGACTGGCGCCAGGCTAATGTAAGCTGCTCATTCTCTAACATATACAGTACTTATACTGTGATACGCACAAAACAAGATTGGGTGTGCCACGTGAGAAAGTATGTAATTTACAAAAGAAATAATATTTATCCTGAAAACTTATGTAATGTGTGTATAATTTTAATATCAGTAATGTGAGAAAGTTAAAACAACAATTGAGTTAGCGACTGCAAAACGACAAGATCGTCGGCTTCGATAACTTTAGCCGGCTTAGGTGGAAATATAAGTAATCAAATCCGACAAAATTGAAATTATGTTTTCACCAACTGCAACATGGTAGTAACTTACCCATTGATAATCGCGGTATGCGGTAATCTTTAAGGAAATCCGGTATTTCCGGTCCCTTATGAATGGCAAGGAAGACTTTCTGGTGGTGGGTGGAAGCGCGCGATGTGCAGGTGAGGCGCTTGACTTCCTTGGAAAGCCGTCTAGGTAATGTGGGGCGTAAGATTTTGGCAAGCGAGTCGGCGCCGGATAGAATTAAACTGGTCCGAAGTCCAGGAGCGCCATGCAACAGCAGCCGGTTAAACTGCTGTTCTAGTGGGATGGTTAATCCACCGTACCACGATGTAGCGGCTGTTAAGGCTAACTGACAATCAAAAGGCTGGCACGATCAGCAGCGATGCTGACCGGAAGTAAGGTGGCAATTACACAACTACTGTGTGGGAGATGAGATGATTCATCTCGAAGTGTTTACAAACAACAAACGCAAGACACGGCAGTCACGGCAAGATTCTTATTAGCAAGTACACAGGGCAAGAAGGCAAAAAGCAAGGTTAGCTAGCTGGCAAGGAGCAAATCCAAGAATGATTCTAGTGCGCCAAAGTAAAAGTTAAGAGCATCGAGATTGTAGCGGTAAAGCGGTAAGACAATGAGATGCTGATTCACATGATCTTAATGAGGAAGACAAGCAATGAATGAACCAATAACTGATGTAGAAAAGCAATAAACAATCCCAACTGGCGGTACTAAGATTTTCTATCGTTACAATACATGTGAACCGTATTCCGTATACGTTGAATTTTAAACAGTCATCACACACCTCCTAGTATTTATGAAGCTAATTAATTGCTACTGCTGACACTAAAACACTGATAGGCACCAGCAGACAAATTGCGGTTAATCCGGAACGTTGTCGCGATAATAAGCGGCTGTATATAAGGAGACACAGCTGGGTTTGAGGGCCATTAATTGGGATCAGATTTACTTGATTGGCGGAGTTAATCTTCACTTTATTCCGGCCTTTGCCGAGCTTGCTTCTATACGATGAATTCAGCCTCTGCTATCATCACGTTGTGGACTACCGTCACGCTACTGCTCATTTACTGCGCAACGGAGTCTGATGCCCGCGTCATCGAATCGGTGCTCTACCCAAACAATGCTGGAAATGGCATAATCAAATCTGGGAACGACACCGATGCGTTAACACGGACAAAGCGGTAAGGCGCGGCAATTTTTTCATGGTTTTGGCTTGGCCCGTCCTTAGCGTTTTGGAAAGGGGTGCGCATGGCCTCGCGCCAGCTGCTCCAGTTGGAGAAAGGCCGAAAATTGTAGGAAAAACTTCTTATACTTTTTTAGGGCGCGCGCCAGTGCGCCCCGCCCCCTTCCCCCCTTAGGGAGGGGCCTGGTTTTGGCGACCTTCATTTCTACAGATATAGTCCAGCACACTTTAATGGAATGAGCGCCTTAAATATTAACCGGTTAGCCCGCTAACCGGTTATTCTCAAACATTTTGTTTTCACGCAATTAGCGGCGATCATAACGTGTAAACCAAGTTTGCTCTGTTTGCAATTACGATAATATTATCGCTAGAATTATAGATTTTGTAATCCAGTGATCGTGTGTTCATATAAATGTACACAGGGGGAGGGGCGAGCGACATACAATTTAAGAAAAAAAAGACGGAACGGCTTTTGGGCACCTATGCGCGTAGCGAAACCGGAAAAACTGATTTCGAAGCGTGAAACGCCAGGACAGTCAAGGACTTTCCTGCCGTGAAGTGAGCTTGGGCAGTCAACCGAAAAAGCGGATTAACAACGATAACTCGCCGCATTGGTTGGCTGCATGTACTAACTCATGCAGCATGTGTAAATCATGTGTAAATTCTGATCGTACTGATCATGTGTAAATTCTGGTTGCTTTTATTATTTCTTTGAACAGACTTGGAAATTCTGCTGATGTCATCACACGCACACGTGTATCTAAACATGCTGGGTGGTTAGATTCAAATTACCTAAGAAATTTTGTAGAATGGCTGCAGCATATCTGTTAAATTTTAACGTGAATGTTATTCCATCACCGATCGTGAGATGCTGATTTCGCTGTATTTATTTCTGTTACAATTATTTGCAGTTGGTGAGCAAATTAGAAACTGTGCCGCCAAGGAGGCAACATGAGTACGGTGCGTGCACTTTTTAACTGCACGTTTGCACAAATTGTACAACGTTTACAAAACCACTGCACCAAACAGTAAACACTGATAATACTCTGCATCACTCGTCGAGTTTTATAAACTGTTTATTGATTATTTAACCGCGAAATAACATTCGGCCATTTCCCTGAAAAATGAGGGCTTATAGCCGGCAGAAAGATGGACGGGTGGATGTACAACGAAATCGCATCCACCGTGTTTTACTGGTGGCGTGTCGTTGCGAGTTTTTTTTCGAACCGTTATCCCAACGGGCCGATCTCAACTTCCTTTTGCCGTACATTGTATATGCTCAACTGCATCCACTTTTCTGCCAGAAAGATTTTTCAAAATTCTTGAATGCACTCAATGGCGTCATGAGGCCTCATCCACCAACGTGCCGACATTTGGAAAAAGGGTGGATGGCCTTAGAAAAAAGGTGGATCTGCTCCGGTACATAGGTGGATGGTTGATCCACTAATCTGCCGACCTTCGGCAGAAAGGTGGATGCGATTTCATTGAACATCCACCAGTCTACCTTTCTGCCGGTACTACGGTTGTCTGACACAGAGAAAAAGACCGTAGAACAACTGATCTTCGGTTGCGTGCCACCAAGGATAATCGCCAGATCTGTTAACGCTGCTTGTCGGTCGCGTGGGGCAGCCGGAAGTAATATCACGAAAGAAATCTTCAAGCGGGGAACGAATATACGAACGGAAAAGTGTCAAGAACGCGGTGAGCACGAAAATTTTACGGAATTATCAGGAACCCAGACAGAGAGATGCGGCCGGCATGTAAGATATCGTTGTGGCAGACGGCGGAGCAGACACGTGTCCATCGACCTGCTTGAATGCGCCAGCTCCCTTTCGACGGCAAAAGCCGGTGAGCTCCATTTGTCCAGTCTCCTTACCTCTGGTACATGGAATTGCAATGATTTGAACGAGCAGCGTGATGACTTTCGACGCCTTCCCAATTTACGTCTATTGATGTTTAGCAACACAACAATCCACAGTCTGTAGGTCAATCGCATTCAACGATTTTGCCAGCCAGGGTCAGAAAGAGGGAGGAATTTCTCTGTGGTGGAATTTCTCTGTAAAAGCCTTTTGTGGAAATCAATAAAAGGTGTATTCAGCAGTGGCAGATGAACATTCTTTTCGCTTTATGTTTTATGGAGCTGTAACGCTGTACGCACTGAAAAAAATGCTTGAATGCTGGACGTAAAATCGTAAGGACAGCAAAGCAGCAGCCAATCAGCAGTTAAAGCAATAAGCAGTTATAGAGCCAATCACTTTCAGATTACACACATTATTTTATCGATGCAGTCGGGAAGTACATAATAATGTGAACCATGCGTGGGGGGTTAGGTTTATTCAATAAAGCTAAACCATGGGCAGAAAGCTTCTACCAGTTGGGCTGAGGCTCTGACCAAAGTGAGCACAAAATGATAACAGAACACGGCAATCCAATCATACGGGCCGAAAGGTCATCTCCCAAACCCCCAAGCAAGCGCTATTGCAGACGCAGATGAAATGCTGACGCGAATATCCACAAGCATAAGCAGTGTAAGCACAAGCAAAAGCAGCGCAATTTCAATTTAGCGTATTTTTAGCGGCTATCCGGTTTACTGTATATCTGGGACCGGAACCCAGAAGCTTTTGAGAAGCAAGCGGGCAAGCAAGCGGTCAAAAGGACAAGCACAAGCAAGAGTTCGTCGGTCAGTTAGCCAACAAAACCGACCTAGTACGCTTTTGTAAGTGCATTGTAAATGCGAAGGCAACAGAAATCCTGATCCGGGTCAGTCAACTATTGTTAAACCAAGATAACAAGCACTGAATTAGCTCAGAGCGGGTTAAGAGGTCAAAGCTTACCGAGCAAAGCAAAGCAAATTCATAGCTACCTTGGAACGTAAGCGACAGTCAAGCAGCATTGAGCGTTAGCGCATAAGCGTAGCACGGGCATAATACAAGCAAATCAGGCAAGGTCAAGCAAAACGCACGCATCCGGCAGCACAGTGGTCACCGCTGCCGCAGTATCCGCATCCATGAGCATACTTGCATGACGGGCGGGTGCACTGTGCACGGTTCCAGTTACGGCACATAGTGTCAATAAATTCTTGAGGTTGCTGTGGCGCCGGTGGGAAAGCTTGTTGTTGACCACTGCCTGCCGCTATTTTGTTGAATTGGGAACCACTGCTATGTCCGGGTGTGGAATCAAGGCGCGGGCTAAAGTGCGAGCGCTCGTTTTGAAAAGAGCGATAACGCCGGAACTCCGAGTTGAAGTAGTGGGCGCCTGTAGCCGGCAGAAAGGTGGACGGGTGGATGGTGGATGTTCAATGAAATCGCATCCACCTTTCTGCCGAAGGTCGGCAGACTGGTGGATGAGCCGTCCACCTTTCTGCCGGATCACATCCACCTTTCTGCCGAAGGTCGGCAAATTGGTGGATAAGCCATCCACCTTTCTGCCGGTGCACGTCCACCTTTTCTAAAGGCCATCCACCATTCTGCCGGATCAGATCCACCTTGTTTAATGGTCATCCACCATTCTGCCGGATCAGATCCACCTTATTCTAAAGGTCATCCACCTTTTTGCCGGAACACATCCACCTTTTTCTAAAGGCCATCCACCTTCTTGCCGGATCACATCTACCTTTTCCAAAGGTCATCCACCTTTTTGCCGGATCAGATGCACCTTATTTAATGGTCCTCCACCTTTCTGCCGGATCGTATCCGCCTCCTTTAAAGGGCATCCACCATTCTGCCAGATCAGATCCACCTTTTTCTAAAGGTCATCTACCTTTCCGCCGGATCAGATCCACCTTGTTTAATGGTCGTCCACCATTCTGCCAGATCACATCCACCTTTTTCTAAAGGTCATCCACCTTTCTGCCGGATCAGATCCAGCTTGTTCAATGGGCATCCACCATTCTGCCGGATCACATCCACCTATTTAAAGGTCATCTACCTTTCTGCCGGAACACATCCACCTTTTTCTAAAGGCCATCCACCTTCTTGCCGGATCACATCTACCTTTTCCAAAGGTCATCCACCTTTCTGCCGGATCAGATCCACCTTATTCTAAAGGTCATCCACCTTTCCACCAGATCACATCTATCTTATTTAAAGGTCGTCTACCTTTCTAACAAAGTTCAAAACCATTATCTAAGGTCATCCACTTTCCGCCGTAGTTTACCACGGCTTTTA